CCTCCTCCTCCTCCTCCTCCTCCTCCTCCCCCTCCTCCTCCAAAGCGCGCCATGCGCGCTGAGTGTGCCAACCGCACCAAGTGTGCGGCGTGCGTCTTGCGCGCCAGGTGCCCCGCGTTAGCGCGGCACGCGAAGAGGTCCCCCGGCTGCGCCAGCGTACGCGACAGCACACATCAGCAACGTGTGCGGCGCCGCCCCCAGCCGTGCCAAGCAGGTACGCAAAGGGACGGCGTGGTGGCCAGCATCTGCACGAACGGAATGGGTACGGAAAGAATGGGTACGATGCCCAACAGCGGATCTTGTTCATTTTGAACAGGACTCGCTGTCCATGCCGCCGCGGCCTGTGTCCATTCGAGACAGAAGGCCGCCTGCCCAACAGCGGCCGCTATTGGTTTGGGACAGCATTTGTTGTTGGGCATTGTACCCATTCTTTCCGTACCCATTTCAGGCGTCCAAAAGCATCGCGCTTTGGGTGGGCACCCGCAATCAGTTCGGATCTGACACTGGTGAGTGCGGTGGGCCAGCGCACAGCGGAACAGATGGTCCATCCCCCAGTATTCCTGACAGGAACCAATATCAATCTTACTGGCTCGGTGCCCGAACATGGTCAGGTATTTGATGCCATGTGCAATGCGCATTATTTCTAGCATGAACAGCGTTGGGGATGAACGGACTGCGGACTCAGGAGCGTGGACCACTTGTTTCCTAGTCATCTTGCCTTTTGGAGCTCGGGCCCAGAGTGTTTACGAAGGATCGCCTTTCTGGGAACGCAGACCCACTGTAGATCCCGGCTTCGGATGCGCGGCCCATTATTTGGTGTGGGGGGATTGTGACCTCGATGGCGCGGGCCAAAGACTTGTAAGGTGAATACGTCGCCTCGGGAGCGGGGGCCACGTCTTTCCCCGACTTTGCTGCGGAGCGGGCCCCATTGTGTGTTCCACTGCGGGGGGCCTGAGGAGGGTCCCAAGAGGCCCCGAGAGGATTCCATGAGGCCCCCCGAAAGGCTCCCAGGAAACCCCAATGATCCGCCAAAATGAGCCTCACAAGACTGCCCGAGACGGCCCGCCAGGCAGCTGGCACGGCCCCAACACGGTCCGAAAAGGGCCGACGACGCCCCCGACAACCTTTGAAGGGCCCGAGTGAGCGCCTGCTCCCGGAGGAGGAGCCGGAGGAGGAGGAGGAGGAGGAGGAGGAGGAGGAGGAGGAGGAGGAGGAGGAGGATCAGAAGGAAAATGAGGAGGAGGGAAAAGGAGGAGGAAAAGGATGAGGAAAAGGAGAGGAGGAGGATGGAGGAGGAGGAGGAGGAGGAAGGAGGAGGAAGGATGTGAGAGGAGGAGGAGGAGGAGGGAGGAGGAGGAGGAGGAGGAGGAGGAGGAGGGAGGAGGAGGAGGAGGAGGAGCAGGAGAGGATGAGGAGAGGAGCAGGAGGAGGAGGAGAGGAGGAGGAGGAGGAGAGGAGGAGGAGGAGGAGAGGAAGAGGAGGAGGGGAGGGAGGAGGAGGAGGGAGGAGGGAGGAGGGAGGAGGAGGAGGAGGAGGGAGAGGATGGGAGAGGAGGGAGGAGGGAGAGGGAGGAGGGAGGGAGGGAGGAGGGAGAGGAGGGAGGAGGAGGGAGGAAGGAGGAGGGAGGAGGAGGGAAGACCCATTGGACTGTGACCCATTGGGTTGGTTCCCGCGTATACGCGGCGCTCCTCCCTTCTGCGAGCGCCCGCGACCTATAGGCCCTATGGGTCGTCGCAGCCAGGAAGGCCCCGCAGGTAGCGCCTGTAGGCGCTGCCGTTGGGGAGCGCGGATGCCTTTAGGCAGGGAGGGCCTTTAGGCGCGCCTGTAGGCGAGGAGGGCCTGTAGGCGTGCCTGTAGGCAGGGGCGCCTGTAGGCGGTGTGTGTGGGGGGAGGGCCTGTAGGCGTGCCTGTAGGCAGGGAGAAAGGGAAAAAAGGGGGGGAAGGAGGGGAAGAGAGGGGGTGCGTGCCTGTAGGCAGGGAGGGCCTGTAGGAATGCCTGTGAGCAGGGAGCGGGGGAGGGCCTGTAGGCGTGCCTGTAGGCAAAGGGGGGAGGGGGCAGGGAGTGCCTGTTGGCGTGCCGGTAGGCAGGGAGGGAGGGAGGGGGAGGGAGGTGGGGAAAGCGCGCGTCACGCGCGAGCCCGCCGTGCCCATTTCTGACCGTCGGCGCTAGCATGCGTGCACGAAGGTCGATGCAGCCACGCCTATCAGCCGCACCTTGGCAGCTAGCTCGTCCACGTCCAGCGTGTCCCGCAGCGCCCACCGCAAGAGCTCGCCCCTCGGCGGGCCCCACGCGGCATGCACCGCCTCCCGGTGGGCCTCCATGGCGGCACAGCACTCGATCAGGTGCTGGAGGCAGCCCTCGCCGCCAGCGCACAACGGGCACGCCTCGGGCAGGCGGTCCGCCGGCAATCCCCAGACCCCGACCGGGATCTGGAGGGACACGCGCGCGGCGCACCATGCACGGTGGAATCGCCACATAGTTCGCCCCCATGACGCCCACCTGAGGGCGGGGGGCCAGTCGCAGTGCAGCGGGAGGACCTCCGCGATGGGAACGAGGCCGGTGTCGTTCAAGCGGCCCAGCTGCTCCCGGAACCAGATCTGCTCGGTTTCACGGATCCGCGGCAACACGGCCGCGCGGGCCCAGCCGCGAAGGGCGCGCCGCCTCGCCTGCGCACCCGCCTGGGCCGCGACAGCCAGGCCCTCCGGCGGCGCCCCCACCCCGAACCGGGAGGCCACCGCGGCGGCGTCATGCAGCCAACAGCCGCCTTGGCGCGCCAGCGCTGCCCGCACCGCCGGGGCAATCGGCGTCTGCTCCGGCAACAGGAGCATCCGGGCCCATGACATAACGATCCGGAGGGCCATTTTGCTGGAAGCCCGCGTCAACAACCGAGTCTCTAGGAACAGGCGCACGTAGCCCCCAGTGCCCATGGATGCGGCTGGCGGCAAACCCAGCAGCGCTTTGGCCACGTCATAGTACGCCCGGTTCAGCTGGGTTGCAACTTCGTTCCAGCCGCGGGCGTGGCTGGCGAGGAGTTCCGCTCCGTAGAAGGCCGAAGCCTCCGCGCGGGCGGGAAGCTGCTCCGCCTGCACTGGCATCCCAAAACCGTGGTCGGTCAGCCCTGCCACCAAGCGCCGAGCGGACTCGCGGAGCTTCGCGCACACACGGGCGAGCAGGGGCTCGAGCGACAAGTCGGCGTCGATGACTACGCCCAGCACGTCCAAGTTATCCACCGCCCGTACTGGGACGCCGTCTACCGAGCCACACGCGGCGGCGTCGATCGGCGCCCCCCCGACAACCATCGCGGCGGGGCCTTTGCTGCCAGACTGAAATCTGTGGCGGTACAGGTGGCAGAATTCAGTCATGCCGCCGTTCGCCCTTGCCAGGCTAGCCTCGTCGGGCTGCAAAGTGAAGCTGTCGTCCACGAACTGAAGCATGAACATGTTTTCCGGGGCGCCTCCAGCAAGAGGTGGGGGCGCCAGCGCCGCGCCTTCCGCCACCCGGCGACACGAGTCCAGGAACGCGCGTACCAGGGCCCCGAACAAGTGCACCCCTGCGCGCCGGCCCTGGCCCACACCGAAGCCCACCAGAATGTGCACGGGTCCCACGAGCGGCCCGATGCGCAGGCGCACATTTTCGTCGCCAAGGGATGCGGCCGCGGCAAGCCACAGGCGCCCCCGCACCCCCGCACGGCGGAGCTGCACGAGGACAGCATCCCGCCAAGCCAGGTCGAACCCGTGCAGAAGGTCTGCTTTCTGGAGCACAGTGCGGTGCCCTCCCAGGCGGCGCAGCTGCAGCGCCATCAATAGGCCAGCGGCCATGAGGGTCCCGTCGAACAGCCCCCCGGCCTGCTCGGCCCCCGCGAAAGCCTCAAGCAGGTGCCGGGTGGCGGCCAACCACGCCGCGTCGAATGACGTCATCGACGTAACTTATAGGCCGGAGATTGTTGACGTCCGTCACGACCTGCGAGCCGCCCTTGCGGATGGGGGCGAGCTCCCGCATCCACATCGTCGCGCCCAGGCCGACTACAAGGGAAAGGTTCAAGATGGCCCACGTGACCACCAGTCCGTCGACCACGAGCGCCTTAGCCGCGGCACGGGGGAGGCGCAAGGTGCGCCTGTCGGTCGGCGCCTGCTGGACGAGGGACGCCACGAGCTCCACGGAGAACGGGTCGTCAACCTCCTCCGCTGTCTCCCGCAGGGCTTCGGCCCGGGCCTCCTTCACTGCCTGGCGGACGGCTGCGGAGAAATCCGCCGAGCCTGCGCCCGCTGCGTCGCTGCGCCTGAGGATGGCGTCAGCCACAGTGTGCATAGTTTCCACTGGCCCGAGGCGCGCCCCGGTGCCGGGGTCGCACAGGGCTAATTGCAGCGCCGCCTTCGGCTTCAGAAGGTGCGACAGAAAACCTCCGGCCCGGGACTGGGAGGCCGCCGCCAATTCGAGGTAACGGTCTACAGCGCGCTCGCGCTCCGCCGCGGCTTTCCCCGCCAGCTCGTCCGCCATGGCAACGTAGTCTACGTCGGGCGGGGGGGCGCCCACCCCCAGCAGCACCTCGCCGGAGTCATGGCCAGGCCGTTGCATTCCGCGCCCGGGCGCCGATGCGCCCCCCTGCCTGGGGCGCGACACCAGCACCAGACCGCCAAAGTGCCCGGCCAGGCAGTACACTGCTGCGCGCCACCAGACCGCCCAGTCCAGCAGCAGTTGCCGCGCCCCCTTCCTGGCCCCCGCCGCAGTCCACTCGCGCACGGTATGGCTGCGCATAGCTGCGCCTGCCCACCCGCCGACGAATTGCAGCGACATTGGAACCGCTTCCAGTGCTTGTTCCCACTCGCCCCCTCGCGCCCAGCGGCTGCAGCTCACATAGGGCACCGCGGAAGCAGCAATGCTCAGTGGGAGGACGGCCGTGAGCCGGGCGTGGTCGCCCGGCACGCCCGGCGACCCCCAAGCCGCCACACGAACCACAGTGGGCAGGTCCGGCGACGACGCGATGATATCAATGGTCGTGCCCGATCTGTGCGTCGCCTGCCCAGGGGCGTTTCTCAGGATCACTCCAAACCCAGTCGGTCCCAGCAACATTTCCAGCACTTCCCTGTCGAGCAGCGACTCGGCGGAAGCGTTCTTCGCACCCAGACACGCGAAATGCAAATTGAAATCGCCCAATAACACGACGGACCACCCGCGGAAGCGGGCGCAGGCCCGGAGCTGCCGACATTCAGCCTGGCGGGCGTTCCAAAACTGCCTTCGCTCGGTTGCGCCGTAGTGGGGAGGGGGCGCGTAGACACCCAACAGCAAAACCCCGCGCCTCTCGGGGCCCGGCATTTCGCACCAAATTGATCGAGCGTCCCCGACGTCTGGTATCACAATAACTTTGTCGCGCAACGGCTCCGCGATCAGGAGGGCCACGCTCGCTGCACAGGCGCAGCGCTCGCCATGGAAGTCGAAACCTGTCCACGCTGGCCAGGCCAAGCCCGGGGCCAGCCGCGGCTCCGAAATCACAGCGATCGCGGTTCCAGCCTCATGCAAGCCTGCCGTGATGTCGGCAATCCGGTGCCCATCCGCCTCGGTGCCACTCCCCTTCCCGAACGCCCCAGCCACGTTCAGGGCTGCCACGCCAGCTGGGTATGCCGTGGCCTCCTCCAGCGGGGCGGGAGC